CCCCAAAACCCCAAAACCCCAAAACCCCAAAACCCCATACCATCAACGAAATAAAAGTAATTTTATTTATTATATTTGCAATGAAGTCCACTGATAAGTCAGTTGATGTTCTCTTCATCGGAGGAGGCCCGGCCGTCCTTGGAATCTTATCCAATGCTATCAAAAACAATAAAATAGGTGACCTCATTGATGGAGAAGGAATCGCAGTTCTAGAGAAATAGCGGTTCTTTCGGAGGCGGCTACTTACAAAATTTCGTCATTAATAGCAACACCGCTGGTGATGGATTCCTTAAATGAATCTGTAAAAAACCTGAAAAGAAGAATGAGAGAGTTCAAAGTCAGCCCCCTATCAAAAATGAAGCTAGTCCTATGTCTCCAGTTCCAAATAAGAAGAACTGGATGGATCAAGTATTAAGCACCAAGAAGAGCTTTGAGGAGGAAAAACAAGCTGAGAAAGATGATGAACCTCTTGCTCAGTACGACAGTGATAATGAACTAGATGAGGATAATTCTAAATATGCTCCTGGAATGGCTCCTCACAAAATATTCAATCCTTTGCCTATATTTAAGAGTCTGTATTTATCAAATATTTGCACTACTCTCAAGAAGTATAGAGGGATACCGGCGCCATTATCTTTGGTTGGAACCTTCCTTAATTATGTCGGCAATACAATTTTATATCATATTCATGAAAAATATCGCAAGAAAGTGTTTTACCCTTTCACTGAAGTTATCGCTCTGAAGCAACTCATTTCTGGAGATATTCTTGTATCAGCTAAGTCAAACAAGGATGGAAAAGAGACTAGAATGCAATTCAGAGCCAAAGCAGTGGTCATTGCTAACGGAGGAAAGCCTACAATTCCGAAATCTATTTATGCTGAAGTCCCAAAAGAGAAATTGATAACGGCTGATTATTTGCTCAAAAAGGACGGGCTTGAGGCCTTCACTGCTACTCTCAACAAGAACCCAAAGAAAAGGAAGATAGTTATCATTGGAGGGTCTCATTCTGGATTTTCATGTGCATGGGTACTCTTAAATGGTCCTGCTAGTTGAGTTCTTAATAAAGAGAAGTACGATTCAAGTAATCATTTGGCCGATGCTCATTTGGATAAGCTTCCTAAAGGCGCTAAGGCTATTGACTACCTTGGAAATTTTGACCCTCAAGAACTCTTGTCATTTGACAAGAAGTCATTACCTCAATTATCAGATGTGGATATCACTATTCTCTATAAAGATAGAATTAAGGTTTTCTACGGTAGAGTCAAAGATGCAGTAGAAGCAGGCTATTCGGATTATAAACCTTACTGATTCAAGAACAAAAATGGGTATCTCTACTCCTTCACAGGGCTTCGTGGTGATGCCAAGAAGCTATACCTTGACATCAACAGTGGCAAGGAGAAAAGAGTCAGACTAGTTAAAGCAGACACTTGGGAGGAACAAAAGTTGTATGTCTCTAACGCAGACTATGTCATCCTCTCCTGAGGATATCATACATCAAAAGTTCCTATCAGAACATTTGAAGGCAAAGAAGTCAAATTAGATGTGAGAGTCGCAGGAACTCAGTATGAAATAGATAACAAGTTCAGACTCAAAATGTTCGATGGAGGAGCACTCTCAAAAATGTTCGGATGTGGACTTGCTTATCCCACACATACGAATGATGGCAAAATTGTTCCAGAAGTTGGAAAACCAAATCCCAGAGCAGATGGGTTCTCTCTGTATAACAACTATGTAGCCAATAAAATTCTGGATAATTTGATTCCTAAATCAAAGCTCTCCTCAAAAGTCCACTTCGTGTACTCAGATAAGGCATTGAAGAAAAGAAGATTGCAAGAAGAAGAGAAAAGAATTAAATAAGGAAAGAATGGACAATCTTGTTAAGCAAGCCAAAGAAGCCAGAATTAACAATACAGCCAAAAATAGTAAGAAAAAAGTGGTGAATAATGAACCACCAAAGCAGGGCGTGAAAGCATCGCCTCCTGAGGCTCCTAAAACACCTGGGAAGAAATCTTTCCCTACTAGAATGAGAGACCAAATCAATAGCTGTAAGAAGCCTGAATCTAAGAAGATCATAAATGCATTGGAGGATTATAATAAGAAGCAGTCTGTTCCTCAATATAATAAGAAGCTCTCAAAAGATCGACTGAATTACAATCATCGGCCAAATGGTAATAACTATTCAAAGATCCCTAGCTCTTATTATACAGATGAGTATGCGACTAAACCAGCTGCAAAGACTCATAACAAGGTGAATATGTCCAGAGCTTTGGTGAAGGATTCCATGAAGAAAGGAAAAGCTACTTTGCTGAGAATGAAATCTCCACCTCAAACGATCTCATCTAAATTAGACAAAACTACGAATGGAAAATTCTCAAGACATGGAACAAGACATACAAAGAAAGTTACTCAATCTCCTCAAATGGGTGGAGGAACAAAGCCTCCATCCAGAAGAATGGGAGCTTCTCACTACAGAGTTGCGATGGAAAGTGGAAATTACAACAAAGGACATATAAGAAATGGAGGAATGACCATGGGAGGAATGGCCATGGGAGGAACAGCTGAATCCCCTGAAAAGAACTACGAAGTTCAACAAATTCCGTTGAAAGTATTTGACATGCACGGTCATACAAGACACCCAATCAAGGCAGATGAAATGCAAGGATCTACGATTTACAAAAGAGATATGGAATATTCTCTCCCAATGGGAGGTTCTATCAGAAGGACAGCTAGCAAGCAAAGGAGAAGCAAGGACAGAGTTCACTGATTAGAGAAAGATAGCCCTGCTAAGGGGTCTCCAAGTGTTAATAATATCCATAAAGGGAGTGTCTTGGCTAAAGCACAGCAGAACTGATCGCCAATAATAACAACGCATCCTTATAGACTTGGATTTCTATATTAATACCTGGACTGCAACCGCCAGCACTTTTCCCGGGGTTTTGGGGTTTTGGGGTTTTGGGGTTTTGGGG